ATTGCCCTTCCAGGGAATGTCCAGTCTAAATAATTCATTCATCTGCTTAGTAAACTGTCCATAGTGTTCGGACAATATGAGTCGGTATGACTTCCAAAAGGATCTTCGGTGCTAAGACAGCCATTAGTAATTTTATCACTTCCCTATTGATTTCTATGTTGATTCAATGATGCGAAAATAATGTTCATGGCTGTTGGTTTTGTTGTGCTAACACATTTATTCACAAGATGAAGTATCTATTCACCTATGTCTACCTCATTTCAATTAAAGAGATGTTTAGTTTGATAACCGCTGTCTATATATTTATGTATTTATGTATCTGTGTACAAAGGGACTAAATCTATGGGTGGTGCCATATCATGGCAAGGAACATACAAGGTGTAGTTATTGACAACATGGAGTCCTGGTCTGTGATTTAAGGGTTCTAGGTGATAACAGCACTATGTGTGTTAACTGTGTGGTGATATAGAGTAGGTGTCTAGGTGATAACAGCACTATGCGTGTTAACTGGGTGGTGATATAGAGTAGGTGTCTAGGTGATAACAGCACTATGTGTGTTAACTGTGTGGTGATATAGAGAAGGTGTCTAGGTGATAACAGCACTATGTGTGTTAACTGTGTGGTGATATAGAGAAGGTGTCTAGGTGATAACAGCACTATGCGTGTTAACTGTGTGGTGATATAGAGAAGGTGTCTAGGTGATAACAGCACTATGTGTGTTAACTGTGTGGTGATATAGAGAAGGTGTCTAGGTGATAACAGCACTATGCGTGTTAACTGTGTGGTGATATAGAGTAGGTGTCTAGGTGATAACAGCACTCTAAGTGATGTGTGTTAACTGTGTGGTGATATAGAGTAGGTGTCTAGGTGATAACAGCACTATGTGTGTTAACTGTGTGGTGATATAGAGTAGGTGTCTAGGTGATAACAGCACTATGTGTGTTAACTGTGTGGTGATATAGAGTAGGTGTCTAGGTGATAACAGCACTATGTGTGTTAACTGTGTGGTGATATAGAGTAGGTGTCTAGGTGATAACAGCACTATGTGTGTTAACTGTGTGGTGATATAGAGTAGGTGTCTAAGTGATAACAGCACTATGCGTGTTAACTGTGTGGTGATATAGAGTAGGTGTCTAGGTGATAACAGCACTATGTGTGTTAACTGTGTGGTGATATAGAGTAGGTGTCTAGGTGATAACAGTACTATGCGTGTTAACTGTGTGGTGATATAGAGTAGGTGTCTAGGTGATAACAGCACTATGCGTGTTAACTGTGTGGTGATATAGAGTTACTTAGGTGTCTAGGTGATAACAGCACTATGCGTGTTAACTGTGTGGTGATATAGAGTAGGTGTCTAGGTGATAACGCACGATGTGTGTTAACTGTGTGGTGATATAGAGTAGGTGTCTAGGTGATAACAGCATTAGGTGATAACGCACGATGTGTGTTAACTGTGTGGTGATATAGAGAAGGTGTCTAGGTGATAACAGCACTATGCGTGTTAACTGTGTGGTGATATAGAGAAGGTGTCTAGGTGATAACAGCACTATGTGTGTTAACTGTGTGGTGATATAGAGTAGGTGTCTACATGATAACAGCACTATGCGTGTTAACTGTGTGGTGATATAGAGAAGGTGTCTAGGTGATAACAGCACTATGTGTGTTAACTGTGTGGTGATATAGAGTAGGTGTCTCACAAGCTATGCTGGTTCTGTAGGTGGATTGTGTGTGAATGGGTTGAATTTTCAATCTCATAGGCAATATTGCAACCATATAGCAATGAAAACAAGTTCAATGATGTTAAAGTCTGTCTGTGAATAACAATAAAACAGAAAGTTCAGTGTCACAGTTTAAGTATAAAACAAACCAATTCTGTATTAAAACTATTACTTCCTCAGACTATTATTTAGTATAGATTTAACACTAGGCTATAGACCACCAGTGCCCAAAGCAAGACTTAGAACTTTCCTGGGGAGCAGGGTGCCTCTGCTTCCTGCATTATTCCCAGGAGGATTTATGGCATCACTTTGGCCACTAGTGGTTGTACGCAAGACTAACCAATATTAGAAGTTAACTACAACAGAGCAATTTTAGCACTACTTGATGTTATATACCTCAATTAATGTGGACTTATGTTCCACTGTCAGGGGGACTTTAACCCCTTGAGTGGCACCATGGATTGTGGTCAGAGTCAGCTTCCGTATGGGGAGTTTCAGGGTAGAATAGGCCCCCAACACCCTGTACTTCCTTCCACACAGAAAAATCAACACCTTCAATCGCGAAAATGCAGCCAAGAAAAGTAAGTGTTATTACACTCAATATTTCTATGGTGATAGTTATTGTTCTTCCTTGATGTTTCTTCTCAAATATTGTTCTGAGATATTAGGGGCAGTGGGGTAGCCTAGTGGTTAAAGTGTCCCCTCGTCACGCCGAAGATCTGGGTTTGATTCCCCTCATGGGTATAATGTGTGAAGCCCATTTCTGGTGTCCCCCACTGTGATATTGCTAAAAGTGGTGTTAAACTCACTCACTCTGAGATATTGCTGATATGAGAGTTCGATGACTCAAAAAGAAAACAATATATGACTACATCACATGTCAACAATCTAGAACCGGTCTTATCCTTGGCCACAATGACTGTCACCTGACACACTCAGCTGCCATCTCTCCTGATGAAGGTGGCGTGATAACCTAGATCCTCAATGGCTTTGTTTATCGGTTTTTGTTCCCAAACTTGTTGCATCATCCTGTTTCTGCTTCACAAGTCTGGACAGAGGAGGGAGAGAGTTGTCCATGGGTGATAAGCTGCAGTGATATAGCTGTCTTGTATATACACTGACGAACAAGATAAGTTGACACGAGCCTCTGTGATAGTCACCAAACCTGCGCAAGATTGTCACCATGACAGGCTGTTTCTGGATGTGCCTCATGATGATGTTGCAAAAGATCTGTTGATGATCCTCAGTGAAGATTGTCTCATTCAAGGGCACTATTGATTATAAGTACACACTGCTTGTTGTAAGAATCAACTTAACAGAATTTAAATTTACTCTGATCTAATTTCATAAATAAAAAATCTTAGGTTTTTTAGGGGCGGTGGGGTAGCCTAGTGCTAAAAGCATTTCCTTGTCATGACAGAGACCCAGGTTTGATTCACCACATGGGTTCAATTTGTGGAGCCCATTTCTGGTGTCCCCTGCTGGGATATTGCTGGAATATTGCTAAAAGCAGTGTGAAACTAAACTCACTCACTCACTCACGTGCCATAAGTCTGTCTGGTCACCCATCATCGCAGTCCATCAACCATATTATTTTCCTTCCGTCCAGCCCTCACTACAATTCTGTGCCCTGAATGTAGAAGTTCAGTTCTGAAACTCCCACATCTCACTGGGGCTCCTCCTTTGCAAACTAAATGTATCAGAAATATATTTATAGAGACTAAACATTAGTCATCATGCCATTATAAGCCCATTATAATATACCACAGAACTTTCATGAATTAAGAAGCAAGAGTATACAAGCTGTTTTGCAATCACTGCAGTGAAGAATACCAGATTACATTAATGGTAGTTGTGTAGCTGATCGTATCTGTCTTCACTTTACTGGCTAATAGACTTGCGTTTCTAAATGAAGTGTTCCAAATGAGAGGTGGCAATGTCCTCTGCGAATCCGATTCACACAGAGATACAATCTCTCGTGTAAGTTGACGGAGAATTAGGAGTTACAAGCAAGTACTGTGTATCCTATGTGGACTCACATCTAGACTCTGAAATGAACATATTTTACTGAAAAACAGTTCCAAAATTATCATCATAAAATATAATGAAAAGGAGGCAGAGACTTTCTTCATTTTCTGAAACTGTAGTAATTAAGACCTGGACTTTCTTAGGTATATTTGTTCCAGGGTCTGTATGACAGACTCTGTCCTGAGGTGATTATCTAGATATCAATCTTACACAGTCACAGTGTTGAGTTAGATTCACATTTGATCATGATACAGGTAGAAAATGTGATCAAAAGTACCTGAGTTGATCACAGATATAAAACTTGATCACAGATATATTCTGTAATTACAGATACGACAATCACATATAAAACTTGATCACAGATATATTCTGTAATTACAGATACGACAATCACATATAAAACTTGATCACAGATATATTCTGTAATTACAGATACGACAATCACAGATATAAAACTTGATCACAGATATATTCTGTAATTACAGATACGACAATCACAGATATAAAACTTGATCACAGATATATTCTGTAATTACAGATACGACAATCACAGATATAAAACTTGATCACAGATATATTCTGTAGTTACAGATATACGACAATCACAGATATAAAACTTGATCACAGATATATTCTGTAATTACAGATTACGACAATCACAGATATAAAACTTGATCACAGATAAATTCTGTAATTACAGATACGACAATCACAGATATAAAACTTGATCACAGATATATTCTGTAATTACAGATACGACAATCACAGATATAAAACTTGATCACAGATATATATTACTTGATTCCAGAGCAAAGGTACATGAGTTGATCACAGGTGTATAATTTGATTACAAATAAACAACAATCACAGACATAAGACTATTTTATGATTTGCCACAGGGCAGTGGGCCAGCCTAGTGGTTAAAGGGTATACTCATCACGCCGAAGATCCGAGTTTGATTCCCCACATGGGCACAATGTTTGAAGCCCATTTCTGGGGTCCCCCGCCATGATATTGCTGGAATATGCTAAGGGTCGCATAAAACTAAACTCACTCACTCAAGAGATCTGTAGAGGACTCAGGGTAGACTGTGTCCCTTACCACCAATTGCTGGTCATTAGATTCGATAATACTGGCTCATCAAACCATTATCTTTAATTGCATTTTATCTGTAAGTTGATGTCCTCAGGATGAAAAAGGACTTTTCTGCCGATGGTGGAAATATGTTCATGGTATTGTGTTTACTTTTTACAGACACAGCATGGGGTTGATTCCAACAAAAGGCAGTTTGCAGCTTGTGTCGAAGGTGACTGCATCAGCATTTTGTAGGTGAGAAAATATTGTGCGATTGCGTCTAAGACCTCCATTGCCACTCGGGCCACAAGCTGTCCTTCCAGATCAGGATGTAACACCAAGATGTAACTTAGATGCTGTTCAAAATGAGGTTAAGTCCAACTCACTCTCTCACATTGTGTACAATGGTCAGGACAGAATTACCCTTGCTGTTGAAGCCATGGTCCAGGGGAGGTAACTCATGCAATGATACTCCTTTGACTGTAAAATCCTTCGACTGTTTTAGTGATCCCAAAGGATGGGGTGATCATATGCTGGGGATGATTGTATTTTCACATAGACTTGAGATAGTTTTGTGTGATGTGGCTTTTGTCTATAGTGTGTTTTTTGCTAAGCTCAGACATTTCAACAATTTCTGGAGAAATATTCATCAAAGAAGTCCATCCTTGCAGTTGTACATTGGAGATCTCTTGAGCACATTTTCATAGATGTTTGATACATTTAAGGATTTATTCAAACTATTCTATTTTGTTGTAGGAGGCGACTTCCGATTGTGATGGTGAGAAGTCACATGGCCGAGAATCTGCGTGCAGCCACAACATTCATTGAACAAGGACGTATCCTTCTGAGTATCAAAGAGTTTCTTTGTCAGATTTATGAGGTTACATGCTATGAATGCCATGATCAATTGTTTGGGGTCATTGTGAGCTTTGGCAGGTCACTCCGACCCAACTCATTAAAAGTATACTGACTTGGAGCTTCACCCCCAGGCAGGGCAACAACAGCTACCTTATTTTAATGTCTTGTGGTAACGACAGAGGTTGACATCTTGTCTCTGAAATGGACATATTTTACAGACAATGGTTCCTAAATTATATTCACAAAATATAATATAAAGGAGCCCAGAGACTCTTCATTTTCATTCCTGAAACTGTGGAAATCTAAAAGTGCCACATCATGCAGACTTGCATGGGCTGTATGAGGTATATTTGTTTCAGGGTCTGTATGACAGACTAGTAATCTAACCACCATCCTGCATGCAGAAGTTGTTGAGAACTTGAAGTAAGAGAGTAACAGCATTGAACTGTTAACAGCTTGTTCCTTAACACAGTTCAGACATCCGTGTCGGACCAGAAGTGATCAGTGATCCTGCCTTTCTTGTCACCAGGTGGGTACATGTGTATCAGAGGGCCATGCATACAGGGCATGCACACTGATACCATTGACCTATAGTTTAAAAAAATAAATTGTGTGTAAAAACTGCCCCTGAACATTATGTTAAATGTTTTTTGATGATAATCTAAAGATTACTTTATTTTGGCATAAATATAGAATTGTTCTTTTGAGATGTGTGATAATTCAAAAACAGTATTTGGGGGCGATGGGGTAGCCTTATGGTTAAAGCGTTAGCTCTTCATGCCGAAGACGTGGGTTGGATTCCACACATGGGTACAGTGTGTGAAGTCCATTTCTGGTGTCCCTGCCGTGATATTGCTAAAAGCGTCATAAAACCATACTCACTCAAAGCAGTACTTACTACTATTATCTACAACCAACTCTTGAAGCATTCTTTATCTATTTGTAAGTTCAGTGTCTCTTGATCATTATCACCAACAACTGTTGTTGCTCTCCTTTGATGGAAGTGGAAATAAATTTGGTTTTCTTCTTAATATGAGCCAAGCAAGTGTTAAGTTGACATCTTCAAATGAAATGACTCTCTGAGATTTGCGTGATATTTTCACAAAGATAGCTTCTTTGATTGTTTAAGTATTTTTTAAAATAAGGTTATGTCATGTTGGGCGTTGTTCATAATGCTATCAAGGATTTATGGATAAGGACACTAATTATTGGCGCAAACATTCCCTCTGGGATGAGCATGTTGTCCAGCTAAACTGTCAGTAATCAAAAGGTCTTCAGTATCACCTGTAAACTTCTACAACACATCACAATTCTTTTTGCGAACTTAAAACAGCTGGATATTATAAGAAGAAAGACTATGCATGTGGCGAGAATGTTATTGCATTATTCAACACCTGTTTAGTTTCACCCAGGTGCGGCAGCATCCAGTGATTGTTGGTTCAGAAGCTAGATTTGGTTTGATTGTGATGCTTGGTGTATAGCGACATGCTCATCATCATGCTGGTAGGTAGACAGTGACCTGGACCTGGGACAGTGGTAGATATTGACGCTACAGTAAGTGACATGTTCATCATCATGCTGGTAGGTAGACAGTGTCCTGGACCTGGGACAGTGGTAGATATTGACGCTACAGTAAGTGACATGTTCATCATCATGCTGGTAGGTAGACAGTGACCTGGACCTGGGACAGTGGTAGATATTGGCGCTACAGTGTCATCATCATGCTGGTAGGTAGACAGTGACGTGGACCTGGGACAGTGGTAGATATTGACGCTACAGTAAGTGACATGTTCATCATCATGCTGGTAGGTAGACAGTGTCCTGGACCTGGGACAGTGGTAGATATTGACGCTACAGTAAGTGACATGTTCATCATCATGCTGGTAGGTAGACAGTGACCTGGACCTGGGACAGTGGTAGATATTGACGCTACAGTAAGTGACATGTTCATCATCATGCTGGTAGGTAGACAGTGACCTGGACCTGGGACAGTGGTAGATATTGTCGCTACAGTAAGTGACATGCTCATCATCATGCTGGTAGGTAGACAGTGACCTGGACCTGGGACAGTGGTAGATATTGACGCTACAGTAAGTGACATGCTCATCATCATGCTGGTAGGTAGACAGTGACCTGGACCTGGGACAGTGGTAGATATTGACGCTACAGTAAGTGACATGTTCATCATCATGCTGGTAGGTAGACAGTGACGTGGACCTGGGACAGTGGTAGCTATTGACTCTACAGTAAGTGACATGCTCATCATCATGCTGGTAGGTAGACAGTGTCCTGGACCTGGGACAGTGGTAGATATTGACGCTACAGTAAGTGACATGTTCATCATCATGCTGGTAGGTAGACAGTGTCCTGGACCTGGGACATGGACATGCATCACAGTAGAAGACCTGGACATGGTAGATATTCACGCTACAGTAAGTGACATGTTCATCATCATGCTGGTAGGTAGACAGTGACCTGGACCTGGGACAGTGGTAGATATTGACGCTACAGTAAGTGACATGCTCTTCATCATGCTGGTAGGTAGACAGTGTCCTGGACCTGGGACAGTGGTAGATATTGACGCTTACAGTAAGTAACATGCTGTCATGTGATGTAAACAGTGCTACACTGATTCCATCACTGTTGCAGGAACATGGAGGATTTCATCACATGGACAGACACCTCCGCTATCAGGAAACACGTCCTGGACTACAACGATATCGTGAGTGAACTACTTTACAGTTAAACCCATGAAGATCTGAGTTAGAACCCATGCTTGTAAGAGAGGACTGATGAGATCAGGTAGTCAGACTCGGTGGTCAGACACATGTCATCGTATCCCAGTCGTGTAGATTTATTTACAGAATGCTGCCATATGGCTGGAATATTGCTGAGTGCGGCATTAAACAAAGACAAAACAGAATTGTCTTGAAGCTTTTGCTATTATGCTAGGAACCTGAAAAAATATATGTTACACTTTATGATAATTTTAAGAAAATGTTTTAATGTATGATTTTGTTTTGTTTTACAGAGAGATGACTTTGACATCATGGGCTGATTACAGAAGCCACTTTTTAACTGGAGCGTGTTTGTTCTGTCTGAAAGTACGGGTGTTTGGGTATTGAAGGCAACACAATTTGCAGTGCAGATATGTGCCCAAGACTGGCCAGAAACCCATGATGCTGAGTTCTAACCCCACATTTGGCCTGTATATGTGTCCCAGTTTATTGAAGCAATACCCAATCTGTACCCAATCTGAACCAAACCTCATGGAACTGCCGTAGTTTGTGCCCCACGTCAAGCTAACATGGCAAGATGTTACACAGTACTGTTCCAAATGTGATGTTAAACATAACAGTCTCACTCATGTTTGAATGTATAACTGGATGATTGTGGAAATAAATGATCTTGACAAGTCCAGTAGTTTGTAGTTTCTGTAAGCTTTGTATCATGTCTCGTATCCCCATGTCAAATTCAGCATGGGCCAAACAGCCTAGTTACTGGACCAGGTACAAAGTTGTCCCCTTTGTGCAGTGTTAGGATCATCATCATAGGCTTGTCAGTAGCAGCCAGCTTATGTTAGCAGGAACATGGTGCCAACAAAGATCTGCATGGAACATGGTGATTCAAAGCATTGTGAATAATGGTAAAAGTCTGCATGTGAACAAAGATCTGCATGACCTGCTCCAACATGGACTCTCCTATGAGTGGTAAAAATAGTCTGCATGTGAATAAAGATCTGCATGACCTGACATTGACTCAGTGATGTGACTGACCTATGATTCAAAGCATTGTGAATAATGGTAAATATAGTCTGCATGTGAATAAAGATCTGCATGACCTGCTCCAACATGGACTCAGTGATGTGACTGACCTATGATTCAAAGCATTGTGAATAATGGTAAATATAGTCTGCATGTGAATAAAGATCTGCATGACCTGCTCCAACATGGACTCAGTGATGTGACTGACCTATGATTCAAAGCATTGTGAATAATGGTAAATATAGTCTGCATGTGAATAAAGATCTGCATGACCTGCTCCAACATGGACTCAGTGATGTGACTGACCTATGATTCAAAGCATTGTGAATAATGGTATAGTCTGCATGTGAATAAAGATCTGCATGACCTGCTCCAACATGGACTCAGTGATGTGACTGACCTATGATTCAAAGCATTGTGAATAATGGTAAAAATAGTCTGCATGTGAATAAAGATCTGCATGACCTGCTCCAACATGGACTCAGTGATGTGACTGACCTATGATTCAAAGCATTGTGAATAATGGTAAAAATAGTCTGCATGTGAATAAAGATCTGCATGACCTGCTCCAACATGGACTCAGTGATGTGACTGACCTATGATTCAAAGCATTGTGAATAATGGTAGAAATAGTCTGCATGTGAATAAAGATCTGCATGACCTGCTCCAACATGACCAGTGATGTGACTGACCTATGATTCAAAGCATTGTGAATAATGATAGAAATAGTCAAAACAACACCACCCTTACAACGGTGGGGTAGCCTAGTGGTTAAAGCGTTGGCTCGTCATGCCGAAAACCCGGGTTCGAATCCCCACATGGGTAAAATGTGTGAAGCCCATTTCTGGTGTCCCCTGCCGTGATGTTGCTGGAATATTGCTAAAAGCGGCGTAAAACCAAACTCAGTCAGTACAACAACAACAGTAATGATCCATTTAAATGGTGTTTTTGTCTATGTTCAAAGTGCACAGAGAATTATTACCTTGGTCAACTTTTGAGTGTCCACACAGTTTTCAGTCTCAACACCAAGGGGTATATACAAAACCAAGCTGTGTGAGAGATGTTAGAAGTCTGACAGTCACATTACCATCTCACCCTACTGGGTACCCATCCACTGCTGGGTGAAAAGTGTTTTAATCACAATGACGACATAATGCCATACAGGCTCCTTTAATTCCGAAACACAGTAGATTTATGTCCTAATTTACTCTTCACCCAGTTGAACAGTATTTACCTGACCCATATACATTTTCAGGACAACATAGACAGGTACTGCTGAACACATCAAAGTCTGCCTCAGATGTTGGAATGAATGAATAGTTTTGGTTCAGTGCTGTAGGGATCAATGAGACCTCCACAGGAGAAAAATAAGTGCTGTTGCAAAAATTGCAATATGGCTGATGCTTTTATATTGTGCTATTTACTCACTCACTCACTCACTGAGACTAAGCCCACAATCAGCATCAACAAATCCGTGTATACAAACACCATCAGCAACACATGCACTATCCACGTCTACTTCAAATTATAGTGGGACGGCGGGGCAGCCTGGTGGGTAAAGGGTTTGCTGGTCATGGCGAAGACCGGATTCCCCACATGGGTACAATGTTTGAAGTCCATTTCTGGTGTTGCTGATATTGCTGGAATATTGCTAAAAGCGGCCTGAAACTAAACTCACTCAAATTAGTATAGCAACAGTAATCCTCCAGGTCCCGAGCCTGGAATCCATACACAGTCAAGCACCCCTCTGTCGTAGTTGTAGGTACCTCCCTTGTGATGAGAGAGTCACCGTCAAGCATATCCTTTTTTTTTTCATTCATCATTTTTTTAGGTACAAAACCGTGACATCAAGTAACAGTCAAATATAACCATGCGTTTGTATACAGAGTATGGCAAGCATATTATAACAAATGACATTGTAGGGAAATGGGTCGGTTGTCCGTTAGTATTGATCAAACAATTGGTGACAATCAGACCAAAATCCAACAAATTTGATAAAATTACAAGAAGAGATGGCATGTGTTCTCTCGATATTGTAAACTTTACTTATTTTATTTCTGATCGTATCGAAACTTGGTGTACAAGTATATGTTCGTATTTTAAAAAGAGTAAATTTGACAACTGTTATCAGGAGATTAAGGACATCGTTCCTTTTATCAGAGAATCCAAATAGGATTTTCTTCTTATCGATATTCAATGTGATACCTGTTTTTGTTTTTATCCAATTGGAAAATTGATTCCATATGTGTTTAGATTTTGGACATTCGTAAAAGAGATGGATTCCGCTTTCTGGTGCATTTTTACAAAATGAGCATAACTTACCCTCTACATACCCCATCTTAAACAAAAGTAGGTTTATAGACAAGATTCTATGCACTAGAGAATATTGGAACCATCTAAAGTCTGAGTTTGTGTGAGCTCGAAATATAATCTTTTGATGGGATTTTCATTCTTTTTCACTTATATCTGTTTCAAGTTCATCTTCCCATTTCTTTTTATAGCTATACATAGCAGAGTCTGAAATTGGAAGAACTATATCATAATATGTCCTACAGCCTTTCTTAGTTTTAAAGATGTCCTGTATGTAACAAGGAATAAATGGTAATTCAAGTTTTTCTCCAAATGATATGTTGTGTGTTTTATGATATTGTTTGACTGATCTTACTAGGCTTGCATATTCTAAGAAGTTCGTTTTTAAGTAGTTTCTAGTTTGCTCGTAAAACTTTTGATATGTATAGATTGTTCCATCAGTATCTATCAAGTCATTTACATATGTTATGCCTATTTTAGCGTAGTGTTGGTACACGAATGTGTTTTTTATCCAAGAGAATTTGTTCATTGTGCCATAAACATTGCGATAAAATATCATTACCCTGAACAACGTTTTTATTTTTCAATGACGTATAGAAACCCCATGGTAAAAGTGCGTCTTTCTAAAAACAGTTTGTTTTTATTTATAACTCTTTGTTTTATAATGTTTCCCCCTTCAGCAGGATATCTGGTATGTTTTGTGAAACATTATAGAAAAAGATGGCAGTCAATTTAGAGTCTTTTAAACATATTCTTTTAAGCCATGCAATTTTTTTGAGCATTGATAGTCTGTTTTATGTCGGGCATTCTTAAACCGACATCCTCATATTTTTGTTTTATGATATCACGTTTAATCTTATCAGGTTTGTTATACCATACAAAGGAGAAACATAATTTTTCTAGGTCATTAATAATGTCATTTGATGGATTGGGTAGGGCGGAAAATAAGTGGTTTATTGTTGGTAGAATTAATGATTTCAGGATTGTAATCCTACCGAGGGGTGTAAGGTTTCGAGCTGTCCATATTTGCATTTGTCTTTTAATTTTTTTAAGTTTGTCTTTATAGTTCTTTTCAACCATCTCAGCTAGGTCAGGAGAGAATACAATACCGAGAATAGCAAAATCAGCTTAGGACCAGTTAAGTTTCCATTTTTTGCACAAAATATTGGGTGATCCTTGGAGAGATCCTATCCAAATGATTCTTGTTTTGTTTACATTCATTCTCAGACCGGAAAAGGAAGCATAGTCGTCTAATATTTGTAAGGCCTTTTGTAGACTATGCTTCCTAGACTATTTGTCAAGCATATCCTGCTTGACTGTGTTGAATTCTCCATCATAAGGGATAAATATTTCAATGTGAAAACAGTTTAGGATCTTTTTAACACTGTTAATTTTTATTTAATATTTTTTTTAAAGAAATTGATTTAATAGATGAATTGTGAATAATATGTTCTGTAGATAGATGTATTTTGATGATTGGTAGTTTAGATTAGTAACTTAGAATGCGATATTAATGACTTAGAAAAACCATCAACGGGGTTAAAGTACCGTAAAATTATTGTCCTCCTCAGAAGGTACGTAAGTCCCGAAACATTTAAAGTCAATCTCAACTTACCAGATTCTTTAAACGTAGTATTTTTGTGCTTTTAACTTATGGCTAAATTCGACTACAATCGCCAGCGGTTGAAGGGGTGATATAAATCCAGCTAGGGTCCATGCAGGTAGCAAAAGCACTATAAGTCCCCATGGTTCCTAAGTATGGTGATCAGCCTTCAGTTGCTGGTGATCTACAGGTCGTTTTCGTATTGTATTGTTTTTTATAGTGATATCTCTTTATGATAGCGTACAAGTTTTAAATCAAGAGCTCTGATACTCTAGTAGTTTTACTGTTCTTCGATGACAGATATTTTATATTCTAAACATATATATTTTAATGTTGATATAAATTAAATAGTTTTCGTCACGATATGGCTGAAACATTGCCGATGTGACGTTAGATATTAACTCACTCACACTCACTTGTAGGTACCTACCGACTTCGACTTACCCAAGGTTCGACAAAAACGGAATTGACGACTAAAGGAGGAATACGGAGTGACCAAGTTATTACTTCCAGGCAAACGGTAATTCGACAGCGGTGTTTGTAGTGTTGGGTGGCGACTGATTGGATCAGGAGATATCAGGCCCTGATATTGCATGTCATCGCATCCAAGGTGCGTGGATTGATTCTCATTGTGTCAATCACTGGATTAGCCGCTCAAGACTCCATGATGTACTGTCCGCCGTCACGCGGCTTCAATTCTTCTGAATGCATGCAGCGTGAAACAAAAACCAAACAAACGCTGTAAAAAAAGGGACATACCTTGAGAGAGGCTTCTCATAATGATGTATCAAGTGCGCCTATACGGGGAGTCATAATAGGGGGCACCCGTGAAGATCCGGGTTAGAATCGATTTTCAGTAACCCATGATGGGCGGATCCAGGATTTTGGCGAAGTTAGGTGCACATATGTCATGAAGTCCAGCAATCTTCAGACAGCAGCCAATGCTTTGTCGTATAAGAGGCGACTAACGGGATCGGGTTGTCAGGCTCGCTGACTTGGTTGACATGTCATCGTATCCCAATTGCGTAGATGGATGCTCATGCTGTTGATCACTGGATTGTCTGGTCTAGACTCGATTATTTAAAGACCGCCGCCATATGGCTGGAATATTGATGAGTGCGGCGTAAAACTAAACTCACTCACTTTATAGGGACAAGTGATCAGAAACAAGATTAATGCTATTACACGGAGAATATATTTATGTTTGTTAGCCGTGCTTCCTTTTTTCGAACACAAACTCTAGTAAGGCAGATATCTGTAGTCTTAACATCCATGGTTCTGATACAGTTCCGCTGTGAACCAAACCATGTATTTCCTGCTTTCACACACTTGCAGAGTTTGTCAGTTTTACGAGTCAGGAAACTGCATCAGTTGTTTATGTTTTGATTTAACAAACATAACAATAAAACATACTTTCTGAAGTTCAATGTGATGGTTCGTTTCCTTTTTTTTTAATGAATATCGATTAGTCTCCCCAGCTCATTCATAATCGCCGGCGCAAGCGAGATCGATCGATTGGCAGATATTCCATGAATCTCCCTAGCACTAATTAGTACACATTTGCCACTTCGTGAACAAATTACAAATGTGTTTCGATGAAGATGAAGAGAGAATCATTATAGTATTTATGTCAAAATATAATGAGCAGTGTTTACTTTCCTATAGAATTTGCCCCACAAAATCTGTGCCATGGGGCATTCTATTCTAGTCCCTTAGTCCTTACATTCAATGAAAAGTCTCTCTCCCAGGGACATTATACCTGTAGTCCCTCCGTCCCATGGATAGTCACTATGTAAGGATTTTAAATATAGTGTTCACGAGAGGGGTGATGTAAAATTAAACGACTAACTACTTCTCAATATTTTAGTGGATTATTAATTACTTAATTATTTTGTTCTGTTCAAGTTCACGTGCGACAGTACGAGATATTTTACGGCTGTTTTACACAGGTCATGGAAAGCATGTTTCAATCATTAAAATGTTGATTAATGCTGTTTCGGATTTTAGTTTAAGTTTTACGATTGATGAAAGTCTACTTGTCTTGACTGAGAACTTACCGCAGAGGAATCAATGAAATAAGTCCGCCACAATTCCCCGTTTTCCTCAGTTTAAATTCTTACCGGCACCTATACAGGCCTGATAATAAAGTTTAAAGCCAAGATTTTCTTTGTCAAATGGGCGTTCAGGGTGCAATATTAACATATCAAAAACATTTATTGGAAAGGTTTTTCTGTTTTGAAGGAGGAAATGGCAGTTGACGGAAGTACCGGGGACGCACTACACATCACAAGTAACATATATAACTAACAAACATCCACCATGACTAGATTTAATATGTCATCAAAGTAAGAATCACAAATCCACGTCAACTAGAGTTCAGATATACGGTACTAAAAGCGAGGAAAACATTCACTGGAATAACTTTTCGTTTAATTGCCATGTCTACAGACGGTTAATGGATGAACGCACAAGGTCATTGCGATGACTATCAACGATTAGTTTCAGAACAAACAGAGAAGATATGTGCGACAAAAGGGTGTACAATGTACATGTAAACATTTTTTTATCTAACCCGTCATAAAAATGTGACCTTAAAATATAATCCGTCGCATCCCTGGAGCAACGTGGACTAGGATAATTCATAATAGCTTAATTTCACCTGACTATCACACGAATCAGTCAGGTAAATAGAGGTTACACCCGTTCAGCCTTGAGTAATCCGTTCCGTGGAGATCCCGGACTAAGATTAGACGTCAGTATAAGTATAGATTCACCCGTGGTTATGCTAACTGACAGACGTGCTTTCACTCGTTCTTCTACAATGTTGCCGGTTTCTCTGTTCGGGGTTTCTTTGTGATGGCTGAGATACAAGGTATGTACATGTATATCACATGAATCTCCATTAGATGAAGATGCAGCATTAAAAGTATCGTCTTAAGATAATGCTCAGCTGGGCCTAGATTTTCGAAGCCCTCTTAGCGCTAAGATAGTCGTAAGTTACTGTTAATGTATGGCACTTACGACTATCTTATCGCTAAGAGAGCTTCGAAAATCTAGGCCCTGGTGGTAAATTATTTTTCAAACGCTAATTCCCGTTTGATAAAGGGGAGGGCGAGGTAGCCTTGTGGTTGAAGTGTTCGCTTGTCTCGCCGCAGACCGGGATACGATTTTCCAATTCTCATTTCTGGTGTCCATCACCGTGATATTGTTGGAATAGTGCAAAAAGCGACGTAAATCCACACCCACACACTAACTCATTCTCCATTTGCTGAAGATAATCATTGTATGGTAGTCTTTATCATATGGGGAGGTTGGCTGTGTGTGATAAAATGCACATGTTAAAGTTTAACACACTTATATTGTGGTGAGGTAGCTGTGTGTTTAAAGGATGCGCTGTTCACACCGAGAAAGGCTTGATGTCGCTGGAATATTGCTTACAGAAGCTCCCTTCCTTACTTGCACACATACAAACGATGTTTCTGACTTATTTTACAACATAAAGTATAATTTAGATACATTTCTGCATATTATCTATTCAACATGAACATATTGTTGATTTGAATAAGAGCTGGCTCGGTTATATCTGGTACAAGTCGCGCACATATTTAAATTCGAAGATTTTCCAAATTCGACGACATTTCACAAAACATATATCTATCAGTGTGTTGATCTCCAAACATCTCATTCGGTGGGCAAGACAGAAGGCTGTTATTGTCGGTCCTCTGTTACATTTAACACGTTCAACATCTCCTTTCTAACTTCAAGGCGTAGATTACAAAACGAAACTTCGTATGATCTTAGGTAGCGCGTCACTATAATCAATGCTCACAAAATTCCGACCAGACTGTAAATTTGGTGGCCATATTGAAAATTCATATTCTACACTGGATGATAAATGTACGGTTTTATAACAAGCGAAACAGCTTTAAATGAACAGTGGACATTAAATGAGGGTATATACTGAACAACATTAGAAACTCACCACCCTTATAATACGAAATAGCCCCGTCAGGCTGAAATGTATCCATCATATCTGAGGATCGTCGGTGCATTGTAGTGTGGTGCGTTTCTAATCTTGTTCAGTATATGACAATTGTAGACTATCATTATATATGACTGTTGATATGTTTAATGTTATCTGTAAGTGTTTCCATTTATGTACGTAATTAAGGTGTTCATCTCCTGTAATTGCAACTGATATTTCGTCTTTCCATACAGATACTAGATACTGATAGATAGTTTTTACTCAGCAATTTCTACATGTATAATTGCAAAATTCGAATAGCAGAATTGTTTCTAAAGCCCTGCTCTGCAAAGCAATCGTAAGTCTTTGTGAAAGTGTGGATGTTAGTCACCCCAGCATACTAGACTGACGCTCAGCCTCTGTAAAAATATATTTATGATAGAAACAATTAATTCCAATTAAATTGAACAGGATCCCCAGTCAACTCGGAGGATCTGAACCTCGTAAAATAAAGACTTACTTCACTTAGATTTTTTGCATTGCAGAAGGGGTTTGGGTGCAAGGTAATAAAGGTGGTTCACCAGTCAACTCGGAGGATCAGAACCCCGTGAAATCTAGACTTGCTTCACTCTTCTACAGAGGTCTTGCAGTGCAGAAAGGGTTGGGCGGAAAGGAAAACAATGTGGTTCAGGGGCTGTGAGACAGACTAGTGGTTTACTTGTAACTGTTTGTCCCCAGGTGTGGTGATCCCCGTCCTCCCGTCACAGGTCTCTTCTTCATCAGCCTTCACCTTCGGCTCCGTAACCTACGGTCCACAGTTTGCCGTAGATGGTGGATTTGGCACCGACTTCATCGCTGACAACACTACGTTCGCTTCGGCTGTCGGAGATAGAATGCCCTACATGGACATTGACCTGGGCAGCAACACCCTCCTCAACTCCATCACCATCACCAACAGGGCGGACTGCTGTTGTAAGTAGAGTGGGTGGGGATTAGAACATTTAATAGTACAGTTAAAACTGACTCTTCAGTTTAAAGTGGGAGGAGAGTACACAGAGATGAGCCTTTAGCGTTATGCTACCAAACACACAATGCGAGTCTCGATCCCGGTGCGCTTAGGGATGCAATTCTCTTCGAAGTGTGACACTTTTGACGGTGTGCAAGTCTGTATTGACGTGTATTTGTTGGCTAGTAGAACGGATATTTAATGGGAATCGGGCACTAAATCAAACTAACCTCATGAAGCCCCCCTTCAGCGTGTCAACCTAGCGCTAGTACGAGGTGGGATTATGAACGTTGGAAAGTCTTGTCAGGTAGGTTACAACCGTCTTCGAAAACTCCGTGGAGAATCGGTGCCAGCAATGCATCAAAATCTGAGTGAGAATCTGAGTGAGAATCATCATTTATATACTGGGTGTGTTGTAAGTTGTACCAGTGTATTTCAAACTGTTCACAAATTCTACTTAATAACTTGTTTTACATAATGGGTTGCAAACACAGTACTTCAGAAACCTCCCATGAGCTATCAACCAGTGAAGATCCGGGTTAGAATTGATCTTCAGCAACATTATGCTTGTCGTTAGAGGCGACTATCGGGTTCGGGTAGTCAGGTTCCTGACTTGGTTGACACATGTCACCGTATCCAGTTGTGTAGATCGATGCTCATGATGTCAGTCACTGAATAGTCCGGTCTAAACTCATTTATTTACAGTCGGCAGCCATATAACTGGAATACTGCTGGGAACGGCTTTAAATAGAAAACCCAACCCATGGAAGAAACCAGTTATTGGTCGTGATGCAAATCAACCTACTGATGCGCTCGTAAAATCTGTTCACCCTAGCCGGCTTTGTCACGTCGTTCGCCAACCTTTTTTAACACCCCCCACCCCCAACTACTTACCCTTACCTAGAGGAGAATGGTGAGGGAGGGAGATTACTTTTAGTGTCAGTCCTTGAACTGTTTTCTATTCTCTAAGGGATGGATTCGTGTTGTATGGACTATGCTCATATCTAGTCAATTAAAGAAAGGAGAATCCTTTGATTCCGACTTTTTCAGAATTGTCGACTGGTTTCCTTTCATTATTGAACAATATCTTGATGTTAACCCGACGGCATCCTGCCATTACTTCATGCCGGCTTCCTAAATCACCAACTTGGATAAAATGGCTGAAGCGCAAAAGTATATCTGCGTAACCTTAAAAGCAACATAACAGTTCTCTATACCAGCAATATCTTTACCTTCTTCCTCACATCTATCTTCCAACAGTCGCACTTCACACAAACCATGTTTATGTGACTGTTAAAATTGAACATCAATAATTTTGTAAACTTGTCAAATATTACCTTCATTAATAGGAGAATCTGTCAGACGTGGAGTTTAACTTTCTTTGTCTATGCCACGGTCGTCTGCTAATGCTAAGGGAGACTACTCCGAGTTAACTGTGTACGTTGACTGGTTCAGTGGATGGTACTCACGTGATGCACAACACAGTCTTTGTTATTTGCTCGTCATCATGTGTTTCAAATTATGAATGTCATAATGTTCAAAAGTCCAGTGCGTGTGCGTGAACGTGTGTGTATGTGTATTTGTCGATTTTACAGATAACTCATCCCAAAGTCAATTTATAACAGATATAACTGATAGTTTTGATGTAGTAATACTACAAAACTCGGTTCCTGTCTTCAGCGCTCTACTTCTCAAGTCAGGATACCTTCCCTGGAACCCCTGTTACACTGAGTGACCTCGCTCACTGTATGTCATCAAGCCTCGAACATAGTTGCTCATGCTGTCGACCACAGGTTTTCCTGCCCAGAATATTTAAGTCTACCTCGGTATTGCCGAATACAACATCATTCACTGTTCGCAGCCGAGCGTCTTCGCAACATCATCATCGAGGTGTACGAAAACGACCCAACTCTTGGAGGGACACCACTGATCTGCGCCACCGTCGGAAGCACCCCTCCTGCCGCCGGCTCCAACACCACCTTCTGCTGCACCGGCACACCTATAGGAAGGTACATCCGCCTCAACAAGTTCACCACCGTCGACGATAACGACGTCCTTCAAGTGGTAGAGTTGGTGGTAGACGGCTCCTCTGTACGTACGTATATATGTCATTGTATATCAGTTTACGTGTATGTAAACCGCTTCGTCGTTATTTCACCCACAGAGCGACAAGGCAAGTTTATACATATACACAGGTGTATAATGAATACAAAATTGTAATAAACGCAAATTTGTTATTCATATTTATGAATGTTTAATACGCCGCTTATAAACTACCATCAAGCAAAGCTAGGTTACCTCCCCCTGGATCATGAGGATAGTGCCTCGGCTTCCTGCATGAAACCTCATGGGATTTACGCCATCACTTTAGCTACCGGTGGTTGTCTACCAACTACTATTAAAGGATGCTCAGCAATGAGATTGCTTAAGATACATGCTACATTTGTTTACGTGTCATGCCGAGGCTCAGCTCCTGGACAGAAGAACCTTGACAGCGCTGTTACTGTAAACACAAGCAATTGGTTATTCCCACATATTTTCAGTTTATGATAGAAATTATTCAAGCAGCTAGCGACGAGATAACCGTTTTCAAGAGAAAGCACATCTTTCCCATTTACTGCTTAATAATGTAAATCCCGTGCACATGCACAGCCCACACAGTCAAGCAAGTGTTGTATGATTATTTTTGTGTGAAAAGTCTAATGAAGGTTATGAAAATAGTATCACATGATAGTTTTATTGGTCTGCATAATATTTGCACTGAATCAGTGATATACCTTCCTATCTAAATATGATTGATTGTGAAGAATGTGGGACCTGTTCTCGTCATTATATATAAAAAATGTTGACGACAATGTCCTCAGTGTCCTACGGCGCTGCAACTACTGCGGCATTTGGCCCCTTTGTTGTGCCAGGATCCGCTTATTCGAGTTGGTTCGCATTCTGAGGTATTCAGTAGATTGCCCAATGGTTTGTCAATAGCTTCCCCGTGTTACGAGTGTATGGGTTTTCTACGTAAGCCAGATCCTACCACATATTTTTCCGATGAAACACAACAAAACTATGATGCTAGTTAAGTCAGAATTAAACCCGACTCCCTCACTTCCCCACAGAATGTCCCTGCAACCACTTCCAGCTGGAGGACAACTGCTTCTACTTCTCCGGATTCCAAACAACCTATGCCCAAGCCAAGGTAAACAACACCCACGTGGGACGATTGACAACATGTTATTTATATTCCAGAGTTTAGTATTGAAATAACAATTTTATGTTTTACTTAGAAAGCTCATTCTTTAACAGAACGTTACATTGATACAAGTATGTTGGTTACTGTATCATACACTGCTGTGTGTTAAGGGTTTCCCGGGGGCATGGGAGGCCCAGTGGGTAAGGGTCCGACATTCAAAGACAGAGTTGTGTGCAATAACCATGCAGTCAATCACCGGTAGTAGGTTCAAATCTCAAATAATGAACCCTATTCGTGGATTTAACAAAATATGTAAATAACTTTAACCTTCGACTGGCAGGGCTTTCCTCTGAGGCGCCAAACCAAACTCACTCTCTTACTCACAATTACAGAGATCAATCATACGCAGCGTTAAATGCACCCCTAACCCTCCGTATGTTCAGTATTCAGCGAGGGGCGTTGGGGTAGCTTAGTGGTTAAAACGTTCACTCGTCACGCCAATGCCCCGAGTTCGATTCCCCACATGGGTACAGTGTGTGAAGCCTATTTTCTGGTGTCCTCCACCGTGATGTTGCTGGAATATTGCTAAAAGCAGCGTAAAACCATACTCACTCACTCAGTACTCCGCGATGGGGTTTTGAAATACTTACATACATAGATCCTTGTTCCAGGAATACTGTAACATCATGGGGAGTGACCTTGCCATGATCAGAACCCAAGCCCAGAGCGACTTCGTCAACATGGTTCTTACTTCCAACGCCAAAAACGGTAACTTATGATTACATGGATTTTACATGGATTCATACTAAAAATAACAAAATGAAGAAAAGTATTGTTTAGCTCAAAATGATAAAACTTAAATACATTTGGCTGCTTTGTACTCCTGTTTATCGACTTGTAAATAACTGAAAGCATGCATTCAAGTAATGAATAAATGAATGAATATTGCTTTACGCCGCACCAGTTATTTGCGGCATGTCTTCACGTGTCATGCCACAGAATTCAATTATTCATCAACGCTATTAATTAGTTGGTTACAATAAGTTGTATTGTGTCTCCAAGTGTCATGACACATAATTCAACTCGTAACTATCCAATTTATAGCGTTAATAAACAGCTCAAATCTTTTATATTATCGTCAAAGATCAATGAAACAAAGACTAGGCTGGGACCAGCTGACAGTTGCGTTTGTAAAGCAGAAACTAAATGAGATCATGTGGTGGTATTCGTTTACTAGGTTCCCCCACGTCGTGATACATTGCACGTAACATTAATCCAACTGTATATATAATTATCTAGTTGATGCCATATGATGCAATAAGTACACAGAAATTACACATATAAATAATCACATACATTTACTGCATATTTCGTGTCCTTTAGGTCAAGAATACTGGATAGGGGTTACCAATCTTCTTGACCGTGTCCAGTGGCGATATCTTGTGGGTGACGTCGTTCCCCTAAATGGTTTCACCGCCCCCATCGTGAACGGCACGGGCACTTGCAGCAGCATGCCCGTCATGACCCATCCCGAAAACTGCGCCGCCCTGAGTCAGAACGACGCCGGCCAGTGGGAGTGGGAAGACGAACAGTGTAACAGCGAGGAGTACTTCTTGTGTTTGGGGATCCTGGCCTTACCTACGGCCTAGCCTCTTCACAGATATCCCGTTGGGTGTCTATATCTTACAGTGATCGTTAGTAAGGGATCTGGGTCCCGATCCACAAAACTTTCGTAGCGCTACGTCATTCTTAAACCTGTCGTAACAGGTCGTAGACCTGTCATAAACTATAGGTTTACGACAGGTCGTAACGTTACGAACGCTTTGTCGTAGCGCTACGACATTCTTAGACCTGTGATAAACTATAGGGTTACGACAGGTCGTAACGTCACGAACGCTTTGTGGATCGGGGCGCAGGACTAACCCGGGTTGTTAAAGGGGGCATTTATCTACAAACGTAGTCTGGGGCAAAAGTGTAGAGTTGATAGTCAGAGAAGTCGTAAATAAATAACAGCAATTGTTAACTGGTAATAACATATTAATAACAAAAAGAATGTCAGATGCAATTCTCTATTTTTACTCGCAAGTATACCATATGTTCCCGTTATTTTCCCCGGTGCACAAATAACGTAGCGTTTCTTTTGTTAGTGACTCGAGACATTTTTTAATATTATTGATATTTTATTCATTATTATTATGGTTTTGGAAATGGTTTTGTCGATTTTATTGATTAATAGGCCCATTGGTTCTGATCTTTATTTATTTTTAAAACTACATCCCAAGTTCTAATACTTTACACTGCATGCTTTGCAAAACATTTTAGAGTATAAATAGATTTCTAACTTTCAATTTAAATGTTGGTATGTGAGATTTGTGTTATGTCAGTTGAATCAAAATAGTTCAACAGTGTCAGCGTCATCCCAAATTGTGGCACACATCTTTTTCCACGAAACAGATAATACACTGTTTATATTCTATGAAATTTCGTTTTTTCTATTTGGGTCGATACATAATTCCCGCTATATCATGAGGGGCGTCTATAAACTGTTTATTACCGTTGTATTGTATTGTAACAGATCCGCATAAAGAAACTTGGAGGCAGCTCCACTGCAGCCAGACAGTATTGTCTTCTCGTGCAACTGCAACATGGGGTGCATTATTGTTCCGAATAATCTCTACAGCTCTGTGAAGAAAGAGGTGCTGTCTGGACTATTCATATACGTGTCAGTACCTATGTGTGTATATATAAGAGATCATTCCGATCTTTTTTAGTTTCTAGGTGAAAGCTTCACTCCGTCTTTTGGACGGCGATCTGTAAGTAACGGAGTCTGGACCAGGCTGTCCTGTGGTTGATAATACCAGGGACGTTGACACCCTGCCAACCAATTCACAAAGTCTGACCACCCAATCCACTCAATTGCCGCCCAGGCATTAGGTGCAAAGTGGGGAAATATCGATCCCGTTCTTCTCTCGGGGTGAATGATAGACTTGTGATATGATGTTAATTAAATGAAAAGTTTTACACTTGTGTATTTTCTTCCCATAATCGGAGGTTTTGGTTATTGTTTTCTAATCAATATTTATATGTATTTTATTATAAATAACCTAGAAAATATATTTGAAATAAATATGGTATTGAAATCAACGTGTTGTTTGTTGATGTCAGATTTGCGAGATGTTATGGTGAAATAACAATTTCGTTTTTTATGATTTTGGTCTATAAATAGATGGCGTTATTTCATAAGGAGGACTCTAGAAGATATTTATTACCTGTTCCGTTACATTTAAATGTATTGGGTTGGACCAGAGCTGTACAAGAAAACTTTGATGCGAGGCATCAACATATAGTGTCGTGTCTTCATCATAAATTTAATACAATTGTCCAATATTATTTAATCAACACTATCATGTATAAAATGATATGAACAGTATTGGTTAAATTTACCAGCTGTTTACACACACACTGCGCTTTGTTCTTAATACGATTATACCCTTTGCAATCTGAATTTGATTAAACAGGCACCTGCAAAGTAAATGATAGTGTGACCTTTTCAGGCCACATGCAGTTACCTCCCCCTACTGAGTTTATTTACACCGTGGAATGTGCGCTGTAGACTAATTACGGTCTCCCTTTCATTGTTAGAACAAAATTTTATGATATTATGAATTTAGGTGATTCGTTACAAATGTGACTGAACAAGGAATAACACATACACAAACTAAATCGTGACAGACAGTTGTTGACATAATTTGAAATGCATGGATGTCCTGTACAGTTAATCATATTATACCTGTCACAAACACACCACAGTGAAGCGGGACTGACTGAGGTAGTGAGTGAGTATGGTTTTACGGTTTTACGCCGCTTTTAGCAATATTCCAGCAATATCATGGCGGGGGACACCAGAAATGGGCTTCACAAATTGTACCCACGTAGGGAATCGAACCCGGGTCTTCGGCGGGACGAGCGGACGCACGCTTTAAGCATTATGCTTAGCCCACCGCCACAGGCCCTCGTTTCTTTGCGAGGATTGAAGATTTAAAAAGAAAATATAAAATTTCAGATGACCCCCGACACAGTACAATACATCGTGACGCGTGCGTGTGTGTAAGCCGGAAGCTCAACACAATGCGTTCCTGGCATGGCAAAGTGCAGTCTCGTTCAGTCTCGTTCAGTGACGATGCCAGGCGGTGGTGGGTAGCCTAGCAGTTAAAGCGTTCGCTCGTCACGCCGGAGGCCCGGGTTCGATTCTCCACATGGGTACAATGTGTAAAGCCCATTTCTGGTGTCCCCAGCTGTGATATTGCTGGAACAAAAGCTGCGTAAAAACGATACTCACTCAATCACTCAGATCAAGCTCAGCATACGCAGACAACAGGCACCGGCCACATGTGTCCGTTAATGCTTCACCTGAACGTTGTTTCATATGATTGTGCATATGTTACCTACATTTCAAGTTGCCGTACCTTTCCATTTTTCACAATCTCCCACCATATTGTAAACCTTGTACTACACTGAAGTAAGATTGATGCTGGAATATACCAAAACAGATTCATAGCTGAAATTCAATTTGTCACAAAAGTTCTACCAAACGATAAATAGGACACTGTTTCAACTCTTTTGGGGGTTTTGTTTCATGGCTAAATTAGTAGATAATATGTTATTTCCAGTGTCATTCCATATAACATACGCGGAATGTCGTGTCAATTTATGGTGCTAAAAGCAAGGGAATGACAGCAACATTAACCTAAATAATTCTATTTGACAGGAAGATTACACTGCCTGTTAATTCAAATTAACTTGACATCAGGAGTGGAAATCCATCAGATTTCTGATTAAATGTACAACAACAGACGCGCACCTGTCACCCAGGTGTGACCTACCCCCTAGGACTGTACCCCAGGGCGTGTCGCGCAGATTTAATGACGAATTGATACTATGTTGAGTTCAAATAAGTTATATTTATCTGAATTGTAACAACACTGACCAGAACAAACACAGAACCAGTGT